AGGATGTTACCCCAAAAGGGCACTGTTAAGACATTAGGGATGAAGAAAAGGGTGTGAATTGTGAATGCAAGTATTTTTACAAATTTAAAGGCTGCTCCTGCAAGTGACATTTACTCACCCAAATAGTCCCACAGGTAAAGAATGTTCATATGAGCCAGGCTTGAAGGATGCACCTCACGCTTTGTGATTTATCTTGAGCACGGTAGAGACTCCAAGGTAAATGAAGGGGATGGGGGGCGGAATGGAAGGAATGAAGGTTAAGATCAGGAGCAGTGAGGTATGGTTGGAGCACAGGCTGGGAGTTATTTGTCATCACACTTTTGATGCTTTCATCTTAACTTTGTAACTTGCTGGGCTCAACCATAGTGTTTACCATGAGTACGGAAAAGACTGGGATAGGCACAATCCATTTCCAAGTCTCCCTGTTGCACTGAGGGGAAAGGACCTATGCTGAGCCTATAGCTGACCCGGCATATGTCACTCAATATGCTGGTGCAGATATGCTGGCCCACTTGTGGCGGATGGAACAAAGGCTCCATCTGGTTTCCACTCTGACACAAGGGAGCAAGCAGGGACCTTACACCCATTTAGTCCCTGGAGCTGCTGTGTAAGTCAGGTGATGATTTAGCCCTCTACCTCAGTTTGCCATATGTAAGGACACAATTTCCCTACCCTCCTCTGAACTGGTTGTGGAGATTAATTAGGTAATATTTGTAAAGTCCTTTGAAGATGTGAGTGTGATTATTTGGTACTTATCTTTCCTGAAGAATTGACATTTATGCTATTTATATTTGGGGATCAGGAGAAAACTAAGATTCAATTAAAAGAGGAGATAAGGTTTAAAAAGCTAATTAATTTTATCATGAACATTTATGTCCGCCCCTTGTTATATCTGACACCAGTCAGGGAGAAAATGGCATCTGTCAAAACTAAAATGAAACGAAAATCTCAGTTTAACAGCTGTAGTGTGGGCCTTTCTATAAACCATGTATTGGATAGGGATTGTGTACTTCATACAACATTCAAAACTAGCTGCCAGAATTCTTGAAATCCATGCAACCTTAACTTAACAGAAACAAAAATGTTTTAATCAAATACTGGTTCGTTGTGTAAAGATGTTATCGAGGATATTGACTATAATATGTGAGCATGCTGTTAAGCTTTCGCGTTAAGTTTCTCATTGTTACAAACAGGATACCTTCCCAGGACAAGATCTTAGCACTATCTGACTTATTTAGGCACATTGGGGAGGGGTTTAATTTTTTTTACCACATACCGAACTGTTAACATGGCCACATCTTTACATTTTCTGTTTACGGAGTGTGGTATAACTCCCTGAAGTCTTGCCTATCCAGCCCATAGACACTATTAGTACTGTACACAGACCAGACTTGATCTCAACCAGAATTAAAAACAAAACTGCGAAGGAAAAATCTTAATGTTCATTTCTATTGGTTTTACTTCCAAAGGCTCTGCAGTTTCTGAAACACCAACCAAAGCTCAGTTGGAGAAGCGTGATGCTGCCTTGTCTTCTTTTGGTGTTATGTCCAGTGTGAATGGGGAACTGTTCAGCAAAATAACATGCCCCATGAGACAGCATGGTATCAATGCTGAATTCCAACCTACAAAAACCAGTGACACTACTGAAGCATACATAAAGGGTGTAATGCTCATTCCTCCTTCTCCACTCAGTGACTATTAACAGAGTTAGAGCTGCAGCAGAAATAAAACACCTAAGGAACTTGAAGCAAGAATTATGCAGGGAGATACCAAGTGTCATGAAACTGCCCATGTTTGTTTAATTCCAGCCAAACAAAGCTCCTGTTCAGTTATGAAGAGGGGTAGAAATGTTATTGAGTTGTGTGTAGGGAGGGTAAGAATGAAAATAGTTGCTCTGGATCATGCACTAAGCCTGTTATGGAGGAAGATTCTTAGTGCCAACAAAATTTTGTCTCCCTATGTACCACAACTATGGATGATTCCCCAACAACTGTGTGCGCTGCTGGGTTACCAGCAAATGCAAAATCATTCAGCAGTGTGCCAGATATCAGGGCTGTATTTGTGACACTGTTGATCCATCCGCAGGATGTGGCACATGCCAGTTGCTTTATGTAGATTGGATTAAGTTGTGGCTGGACTCCATAACAGAGAATGTCCATAACCCAATTAAGAAAAGGAGTACTTGTGGCACCTTAGAGACTAACAAATTTATTTGAGCATGAGCTTTCGTGAGCTACAGCTCACTTCCTCGGATGCACGAAAGCTTATGCTCAAATAAATTTGTTAGTCTCTAAGGTGCCACAAGTCCTCCTGTTCTTTTTGCGGATACAGACTAACACGGCTGCTACTCTGAAACCAATTAAGAAACAGGCTGATGTTTCCCCCTTCTCCTACCTTGGCTTTTATTTGATTGGGTTTTCTTAGTGTCTGCTTTACTGTTGCAATTCTTACATTCTAATAAAGTTTTTCCAAGGTTTGTAGATGTAACTATTTTTTTTTAAGTTTGAGAAAAAGGGAAGCCTGCTCACCGGGCCTGTTTCCCCAAAATCTCATTGCTCAGTCTATAATGTAAATGGATCATTAATGCATGCAATTCAACTAAAATGTTGTGCATTTTAATCAGACAAGTATAACAGGCTTTCTAAATATGTAGCGTCTGATTATCTGCCATTATGTAATGTCTGCTTCATTTTAACAGCTGGGTGCTAACAGAAAATGAAAGAATTTGGCATATAAGGCTAAAAAATGTGTAACCCGAGCAACAGCCATCCTGAAAGAAAGAATGCACTGTATCTAGGTACTTCATGTGCATAGACTCCATAGACATACCCAAAATTAGTGACAGATGGAAACCAGGCATAATAAGTTTTGTCCAATCACCACACTACAATTTTCAAAGGTAAAGTGCTTGTCTTTTAATGGCTTACCCTTGCAGTTGGCTATTGCATGCACACTTCAGACTGCATTATCAAAAACTAGAACATCTGAACCAAAAAAGGATGGAGCCTAAGCACTAGGGCAAATTGATTTTTTTTCCTTTTTATTTTGCTTTCTAACAGAACTTTTGTCAAACATAGACCACGTGAACACATGACAGTTTCCTTCACTGTTTCTCACACAGAGCTGTTTATAGAAGAGGAATACCTGGGAGGAATGTTTCTAAAGCCATAGATAGCTTCTCCATGTATTTCTTTTTTCATTTGTTTGTTTTTGTTTAATAATATGACAAAACATAATAAGAAAAACTTTCCTTAAATAGTGTGAATATCAAATAGTATCCATCAATCCCTGAATCATGCTATTCAAAGTGCTTAAATCTACACTAAAAATAGAACAAAAAAGTACCCCCAATGTGGCTAAAGAAATACCTATCAATGCCTAGAATGTGACCGTCGTCAGGTTGTTACACTCTATATTTATTCCTTATCCCAATCTTCATCTTAAAAAAATATAAAGGGGAGGGACGAAGGGAAAGAGTATTACAATATTTTAATTTTTCTGGGTATTGGAGGAATTTAGAATCCAGTCAAATGAAGTTAAATGCCATCAGTTCCTGACAGGCATTTATAATATAAAATAAATAACAACTGTCTTATAATCTGAAAACAATCAAATTTGTAAAACTGTCTTGAAATTTTATCTGCCCTGGCAGCTTCATTTCCATTTTGTGGATATTTGGCACACGTCCAGAGGGACACAATTGAAATAAAGAACAGATTGTAGAAAAGGACCCGAGCGAATTGTCAGAGAAATAAACATTTGTCAGCAAATAAAAGTCAGTGCACATCCCAAAGCTTCTTTAACTGGTTATGCAGATACTGAGAATTCTTGACTGTTACAACATAATAGTCGTTCCTCAGACATTGCCAATATTGACTTACCCCCACAAATGCCCACAAACTGCAGGTTACACATTTTTGACCAATCACATCTTACTAATGAGACCAAAATATTAAAACTTGTATTTTTTTGAATATAGTGATAATAAGAATGAACAAATCACACAACATCCATTATATTGGCCAACACCAGTCAGCTGTTATGAAAATCCCTAACAGTTAACGAGTTGCTGAAAAAATTCAAAAGCTGCTTCCTAGTGTTCATGTTGTATTGTTGATATTAAAGAAGAAGAAGAAGAAGGGGGCCAATCCTCTTCTGATGGTCATTGGAGCACCTCCGCCAGTTCCATTTACACCAGCAGAGAATATGGCCCTTTAAAAAGAAAAAAAAATCTAACTCCACTCCATACATTTTCTTAAATGGAAAGTGACTTTTTCATCATTTGAATGTAAATATGGGTAAGATCCTTTATTCCATTAGTTCTAGAGATATCTGAACAGTGATTTTTTTTTTTTATCTGGGAGCAATAGCACACATGTAATCTGCATTCCTCAACGATGGAATCATGCATTAACAACCAAACTAGTTTATTTATTTATTAAATAAACTTAATGGTTTTTAATGCTTCCATGTCTGACTTAAATATTAATATTATATAAATAAATGTTTATTCTTACAACATTGATGTTTGTTGGTATTCATAATTTCTTTTTTTACTACCTGAGATCTCATTTAAATCACCTTGAAATTAATAAGGTTTTACTTATTGTAACAAGCTAAGACAAAATATAAAAATGCTCAAATGTGAATATATCATTGAAAAGTAATTACAGTGATTGGAACATTCAAATACAAGGGGAATCCATACTCAGCTGAAAAGAAATGTTTTGCTCTTACTTTTTAGAAAAATCCATTTTCTATAATACAATGTGACAAACCATAGTTGATATTGTCCTTCTACTCCCCTTTGGTTTGGAAGCCATCGCTGTAAATCTCAGCAGGATTTACTGCACTTCAACGCCTATTACCTTACTTGTTTGACAATTGCAAATAACCTCATTTGAAGAATTTAAGAGGGGGAAAAGAAAAAGTTAAATGCTTAACAAAAACAAGCAAACAAAAAAAAAGCTGCATACACATTCACACTATTCCAGAAGTGATCGAATTAGGGTTGTTGCTTTATATAAATAAAAGGGGTACAAATCAACTCATCCATAAAACAAAAACAAACGCTACTTTCTACACACTCCGTAGTGGTTACTATGAGGCAATTGATACATATTGGGTATATCTTGTTGTCTGACAGGCATTTACTCAGTTAAATGTTAGATGATCAGACTGTCTGTAGTGTTACCCAGCATGGGACCATCATAAGGGGAAGTGGGAGGAAAGAGTGTTGTCATGGGATAAGTAATGAAATTGGAGCTCAGAATGATAGGCGGGGTCCTCCTAAGAACAAAGGTTCTTCACAACGGTGAAATGCAGCAGGCATGGCCTTCATGTATCAGGCTAGGCAGGCCAACAAAATGGATGGTGCTTCTGATATTAACATAGCTTCGTCCAAGCATTCCCAAGAAATGTTTAAAAAAATTCTAAAACTATACTAATGGAGCAAAAAAGATTTCCTATCTATACAGCAGTCTCTTCATTAAAAAAAAAACGTAATATACAAATTCCAATGATGTATAAAACAAAGTCAAAAATGTGAATGGCAAGAGACATGGGTAAAACAGGAAGACTGATGCTACAAAGAAACTGCAAAAAACATATGTACAAGACCCTGTTTTTCCTCGTATTTTATAGATTGTAATGCATGTTTAACAGCAGCAGTCGAGGATGTAGTTCCAGGCACCAGACTGCACACTTAGCTCCTACTCAAGGGGGTTAGGGTCCCCCCTTGCATTTCTGTCACCAAATGACACTTGAAATACTGGTCTCCCGTGGCAAGAGGGGCAGTATCGCACTGTTTGTGTGAGCCTCATCTGGATTCTGCTCTCTGTTACTTTTTGTCTGCGGCCGCTGCCCATTGATAAGTGTCATAGGGATGTTGCAGTAGGTATGCTGGTTACCTATTGAGGTAAGAGGCAGGGTGCCAGTAGGAGGTACATCGTATTCATAGCTTCGATAATAGTGTTTCTGGCGCATCTGTGAATGATAAGTATTATGAAAGGTGGAGCGCAGATCTGGATGGGCAGTGGCAAGAGCGGTGGAGGTGGCAGCAGCCATTGAAATGGCTGAGACCGTCTGCAGTTCCCCAAAGGGCCCCTGCTCACTGACATCTAAAACCTGCTCGTGTGTGATGGGTTCTATCCTCTTAAAAGGCATTTCGTACTGTAAACGTTTCCAAAATTTAGAATTCAACTTGTTGCATTTTGGTCCATGCCATTTAATGACAGTTAGAAGCTTGATGGTATGTTTCAGGGCCTCGACCTCCTGGTAGTTCATAATTCCCCGGAGTTCACTGCATTCAATCAGTATCACTTTAATTTCTCCAGTGACTAACATGTTCCGAAGCCTAGTTTCCAGTTCGAAGATGCTCCAGCCTCTCCTTACCACATAATTTGGAGTCATGACGATGATCAGTCGCTTGCTTTGGTCTACACATCTTGCCACATCTTCAATGTAGGCTATAAAAAAAGACAGTTGCTCAAGATCAGTCAAAGCAAGTATCTCACCCAAAAACCTCAGTGGAAACAACAGGGCTAAATTCTCCTGTCCAGGAACAGCTAGCTGAACACTGCAAAGTATTGATTGCATATATTCATTCAATTCCCACCCCTTCCCCCGCCCCCCATCAAATGAATCAAATGAATGGGTTTCTATTCATCAGAATATTTGAATTCTGGCAAAATTTTTGTACAAAGACTAATATCTGCATGTATGCAAGGGTATGCATAGTCATCATCATTCTTCTGTTTTAATTCATTCTGCGCTGTAACAGAACAATGACCATGTGATTTAGGGTACCAATCATACACAATAAACTCACAAGTTACTCTTGTGTATGTTGCAGGGTTGGACCCTTAGTCTGTCTTTTTTTTCCCCCCAGGCATCTACAATGTTGCCTCCTGTGAATTAATGTTCAGGTTATTACAGATCTTAACAACAACTTTGCTGCTAATGGGTCTATTTTTTTTTCTTTTTAAGATAAAAGATTCTTTTCTGCCTTTAGTAAAAATAAACTGAAATAATCCAGTAAGAAGTTGGAAGTTTGAAGGCTACATGGAAGCTATGGAGATGAACTTTACAACTTCTCACTAAAGCAGTAACTAAAATTGGACAGGACTATTCAAAATAAACATGATCAAGTAGTAAATGAATAAAACTAAGCACTAATCAGCTAATTTTGCTCTCTGAAGATCTCCAGTAGCCACACCAAAAAATCATCTGCTGTGAATACTAACAGAATGCCATGGCATATAGCGTTCCTTAAAAGAGCCACAAATGTATCACTCTACTGTTGTATTAGTTTCAACACAAGTCTATTTTTCCCCATATAAAAAGCTTGATTAGTTTCTGGAATAAGCAAAGTCCTTACTCAGATTTTACTCAGTGCACATTCAAGGCCACGGGAATTTGTCCAAGTATGGACTGAATTAAAACAGATTAAGGACATCAGTATTTGATTCATAGATAGAAAGGCTCCTCACCAAACCCTACAAAATACTGGTTTTGTCATGTTTTCCTGTCTATGTCTTTCCTGAACCCTTTAATCTTAACTGAAAATAGTACCCAAACCAAATAAGCAAGTGCTATTTTAGGGAATAATGGAGGCAAGCCAACAAATATTCTAAAAGTGCACCCCCAAAATCAGATGAAATATTTTTTTTAAATGATAGAGAAAACTCAGAGATAAGATTCGGAGGATACTATGATAGAAAGCACATTATTGCATCATATATGTAATTTCTGTTTTCCCCATATAGGAAACACATACACACGGCCTAATATAACTTACTTCCAGTGGGAATCAAATCTCTATCTGGTATGAACAACTTGTACCCATAATGCTTTTCAAGCATATCTGGTAGGATCTCAAGAGCAAATCGTTCTTCTTCCCCAGTTTCTTGATTCCACTGGTCTGGATCCACTTTGGTATAGGACAGATATGCATCATAATCTTTGTTGTCTAAAGAAAGAAAGAAAGAAAGAAAGAAAATGAAGTATTTTGACTGGATCTTCAGACAATAATATGTTTTCACTAGATAATTGTATATCATCAGCAAATGCCATAAAGTAGCTAGTTTTCACATCCAGATATGGGTCCTCTCATTTATCCTGTTTTGACACTGATGGAGTTATGCTTAATTTATACTGATGTAAGAGAGCCCATGGTCTTACCCTGAAGGTGATTTGTGCATATATATTTGTATGGATGGCTGTAAAGGGAATCAGTTCACCTGTTTGTTTGGTTTTTTTTTTGGTGTTATTTGAGCAGAGGGAGATAATTCCACTAAAAACAAAAAATAATGTAAAGCCTTTTCTAGCCTTGAGAAAAGAAAGTAAATATCTATGTTAGTGCAAAATTTGCATATTTAAAAACACAAAAGTCCAGAAATGAAATAGTTACGGTTAATTAACATGCACTGCATGTTTGTACTGCAATATCTTAGACTACCTTAATATATGCAATGCCGAACATATATACAGTGGCCCAGAACACCCAGTCAAGCTGAATTCTGCTCAGTGCAAGACTGGAGAAGTTGATGGAGGGCAAAGTGGCTTTATGCCTTACTGTTGCTCTAAGTTAAGTCTGCTGCCTAAAGTTTGCTGATCTAGCACCCAGGGACTGCTGACCATGTCCCACATCATGGGCCCAGAAGCGCTGAGTGTAAATGATGCTCTATGCCACCCTCAGTTTCCCCTATACAGGATGAAGGGGTTAGGGGGGCAGGATGTGACCAAATATGTGGAATATAAACAAATAAAGGGCCCAATGCTGCAAAGATTTAAACACAGAAGTAACTTTACTTATATGAGCAGTCTGTCTTCACTAACAAGGTCAGCTCCCAGACTGCTGCACTGGGCATCACAACATGGGGAATAGATGGCCAGCCCTCTGTGGAGAAAGAGGTGGTTAGGGACTATTTAGAAAAGCTGGATGTGCACAAGTCCATGGGGCCGGACGAGTTGCATCCGAGAGTGCTAAAGGAACTGGCGGCTGTGATTGCAGAGCCATTGGTCATTATCTTTGAAAACTCGTGGCGAACGGGGGAAGTCCCGGATGACTGGAAAAAGGCTAATGTAGTGCCAATCTTTAAAAAAGGGAAGGAGGAGGATCCTGGGAACTACAGGCCAGTCAGCCTCACTTCAGTCCCCGGAAAAATCATGGAGCAGGTCCTCAAAGAATCAATCCTGATGCACTTGCATGAGAGGAAAGTGATCAGGAACAGTCAGCATGGATTCACCAAGGGAAGGTCATGCCTGACTAATCTAATCGCCTTCTATGATGAGATTACTGGTTCTGTGGATGAAGGGAAAGCAGTGGATGTATTGTTTCTTGACTTTAGCAAAGCTTTTGACACGGTCTCCCACAGTATTCTCGTCAGCAAGTTAAAGAAATGTGGGCTGGATGAATGCACTATAAGGTGGGTAGAAAGTTGGCTAGATTGTCGGGCTTAACGGGAAGTGATCAATGGCTCCATGTCTAGTTGGCAGCCAGTGTCAAGTGGAGTGCCCCATTGGTTGGTCCTGGGGCCGGTTTTGTTCAATATCTTCATAAATGATCTGGAGGATGGTGTGGATTGCACTCTCAGCAAATTTGCAGATGATACTAAACTGGGAGGAGTGGTAGATACGCTGGAGGGCAGGGATAGGATACAGAGGGACCTAGACAAATTGGAGGATTGGGCCAAAAGAAATCTGATGAGGTTCAATAAGGATAAGTGCAGGGTCCTGCACTTAGGATGGAAGAACCCAATGTACAGCTACAGACTAGGGACCGAATGGCTAGGCAGCAGCTCTGCGGAAAAGAACCTAGGGGTGACAGTGGACGAGAAGCTGGATATGAGTCAGCAGTGTGCCCTTGTTGCCAAGAAGGCCAATGGCATTTTGGGATGTATAAGTAGGGGCATAGCGAGCAGATCGAGGGACGTGATCGTCCCCCTCTATTCGACATTGGTGAGGCCTCATCTGGAGTACTGTGTCCAGTTTTGGGCCCCACACTACAAGAAGGATGTGGATAAATTGGAAAGAGTCCAGCGAAGGGCAACAAAAATGATTAGGGGTCTGGAACACATGACTTATGAGGAGAGGCTGAGGGAACTGGGATTGTTTAGTCTGCAGAAGAGAAGAATGAGGAGGGATTTGATAACTGCTTTCAACTACCTGCGAGGTGGTTCCAGAGAGGATGGTTCTAGACTATTCTCAGTGGTAGAAGAGGACAGGACAAGGAGTAATGGTCTCAAGTTGCAGTGGGGAGGTTTAGGTTGGATATTAGGAAAAAAATTTTCACTAGGAGGGTGGTGAAACACTGGAATGCGTTGCCTAAGGAGGTGGTGGAATCTCCTTCCTTAGAAGTTTTTAAGGTCAGGCTTGACAAAGCCCTGGCTGGGATGATTTAATTGGGGATTGGTCCTGCTTTTGAGCAGGGGGTTGGACTAGATGACCTCCTGAGGTCCCTTCCAACCCTGATATTCTATGATTCTATGATTCATTGAGTGTACATGACTAAAGCTACCGACACGGTTACGTTTTTGCAGCATTGGACCCCAATGGTGCAATTGAAATCATAATTAAAATATTATGAATGTTCTGACTTTTGAGTGTTTAAATTTGCACACTTAATGCTGCCTTAATGTAGGATTTGTATTTAATATGGTCTTTTTCATTTCAATCTGAGGAGGAAAAAATCACCCTTTTTGGAAATTTGCTTGCTGTGCTTACTTGTAAGACTGAATGAAAGAAGCCATCATTAATTTTCATTAGGAAGTCAATGGCAAGTGCTCTGGAACTAATTCAGTGGAATAAGAGGTCACATTTTGATTTTTGTTGTGAAGAAAGTAGAGAAAAATCAATGGCAGGAGTAATGAAATGTTAACATCCTTTAATTCTCTAGACAGTATTATGCACAGGCCATAGAGAATATCAATTGCTTGTAAAGGAGGCCTGATTGAATATTCTACTGTGTGCCATAAGTCATGCTATATTCATTCAATGCTGAATTCAGCTATTTACTAACTATAAATCCTTTTCTCACTTTACTCCTTTTTATATTTTAACAGCTCCTGTTTAAAAAAAACATGCAGAAAGCAGGACTAGTGTTCCCGGTCTATACAAAATGAATATATGACATTTTACATATTGTTCCGCTCCCCTCTCCCTGTCAAATGTACACTCTATACGCTAACATTTACAGATGCTACATCATACCACAGCCATACTACCGACTTTACAAATATAACTTTATATCAAATCCCCATTCTACGGTTTTGTACTTGAGCTGTATTTTCTTCCACATTGGTGTCAAATATCAAGGAGATGTGTTTGTGTGCGTACAACAGACCAGAAGATCTCCCTGAACTATAAACACTTTCTTCCTGGATAATTCCTTCAGTCATGCTTCACTGCAGTATTTGGAATATCAACATTCATCAAGACAGAAACAAGTCTCATGTCACAAACCAATGGCTTGTGACTTCACTGAATGAATGAAGTAGGAGGCAGAGGCTGATTACAGAGGAGAAAGCACCAGATTACACAGAAATAGGTTGTATATCTTACATTATTAATTAGCAATAAGATAAAGAGATTATTGGAAAACTACCATAAATAGCAGGGTGACACTTGGGTTATTTTACATTTTTTTTTTAAAATAAGATTTGATTGAAAGGTGCCATAGCATTACAAGTAGCAACAATAATGATACTTGCTTGAGCATGGCCAAGGTACTTTAAAATTTCTTGATTGGGTATGTGACTGCATGAATTTCTCTAGGGGATACATTATAAGGAAGAATGAGTATTCAGACAAACTGGTTTGAAGGTATCAGGGCATTTCCTATTGAGACAGTTTGTACATTTCTAATCTGAGCGAAAATTGTTTGCATTCTCTCATTGTTTTCTTGCTTAAATGCAACAGTGTAATATTTATTTCAACAATACCTTTCTTCTATACTGTAGAGGGTCCAGCTCCAGTGTCTCCACTGACTGCAACTAGGGTACAATTTTACAGAGAGACGTGATCTCTCAGACAACCAGATCACAGGTTAACTAGAACCATGCAGGTTAAAATTAACACCTTGACTTCCAACCATAAGGTAGAAGGCATCAAGCTCAGGTCATGGAGATACACAATATCTAGTGAATGTGTGTGCAATATTCTGCATAATGCAAGCAGGGCCGGCTCCAGCTTTTTTCCCGCTCTAAGCGGCGAAGAAAAAGAAAGTAAGAAAAATCTGATTGAGCTGCCGCCGAAGAGGAAGAGAGGGAATGAAGGACCTGCCGCCGAATTGCAGCCGAAGACCCGGACATGCCGCCCCAATAACGCACGGAGTGCCGCCCCTTTCTATTGGCCGCCTCACGCACCTGCTTCCTTTGCTGGTGCCTGGAGCCGGCCCTGAATGCAAGGAGCAGGCAGCTGCATTCCTAATAGGACTTCATTTAGAATTCAGGGTTGTATATGTTTTCAAATTTCTGTACTGTAAATTTACATTTAGAATTCAAGAGGTACTGAAGAATTTAAAAAATGTATTAATTTCAGATCTGATTATCTTAAACACAGACTGTCACCTTATACCTCATCATGGCAGTTAAGATGACTGGCTCTTGGAACCTTAGTTTTCCCATGCCATGTCTTAGGCAGGGTTCTCTCTGATGAGGACCTCTGGCTTTGGAAATTGTTATCCTTAATTTCATTCTTGGTTTGCTCTCTTTTCTATTATTTAGGCCCCTAACTACCATGACAAATATGCTGTGGATCTTAGTAAAGCAGAATTTATTTTAACTATTTGTCAGAAAGAGTGACAAACAGAAGCACTGAGATAAACTGGCAACATGATTCCTTTGACCGTTCATTTTATGATTTAGAGAGACAAGGTGTGTGATGCAATATCTTTTATTGGACCAACTTGTGTTGGAGAAAGAGACAACCTTTTGAGCATACACAGAGCTCTTCTTCAGGTCTGGGAAA